TTAGCAGTTACTACCCATTCATGCATGAGAAGTAGCAGACCCATGACAGGGTGCCTGAGGGCAGAGGGACAGACAGACAGACTTGCAGGTACAGGGACTGATGGCTGCAGGAAGAGAGGTCTGATACAGGAGCCAGCCGAAACTGTCCCTGACAGCAGCCATGCACGTTTTTGTTTACAACAAGACATAAGCACGCGAGGGAGCCCCGTGAAAACTGCTGACCCACATGTACAAATTCTTTAGTGGGTCAAACAAAGTGCCAACAGTGACAATGGCATTAAAAATTATTACTGCAGTTGTTTGTCTTGCAATTATTCACTCTTCCTTGTTAATAATACAAATCAGATTAGGTGCCTGCAGTACTTTGCGCTGTCAGAAAAAACATGATCTAAAGATGTCCCAGCCTTGCCCACATGCCAAGGACTCAGAGCTATTAATTTCCACAGTGCCATTTCCTCGTGCCATGGACTCAGAGCTATTAATTTCCACAGTAGTGCACAAGCAGGACTTTTAGTTTCTTGTCATAGCTTAGACATGGTAACTAACTTACACCAAAATCCTGATAAAGAGAAGGCACAGGTTGTGCACTTAAGCAACAATAAATGAGTGAGCAAAGCATAAAACTTTTCACCTGTGGACAGATATTTATCACAGATTAGATTTCTATCTGTTAAGAGAAGCTGTTTGTTGAAGTAAAGTTGAAGTTGTTTCAAGGAAAGGGTAAGAGCAGATTACTTTAATCCACTATTCATATGCAAGCATAACTTTGGCATAAAATCTTAAAAACCAGAAACCCAGTTTCTCTAAGAATTGCAGAGATTGGGATATAGTTTGTAAGCAAAGAAACTGGGATGACCTGCAAAGAACATTTTTGTTTCTTTTATTAACATCTCTGGTATTCTCATTTGTTGTTTTATTTTATTTCAAAGTATATAGATTACCGTGACTTTATATGCCAGTGTTCCAATTAAAGCTAGGTTTCTCTTTATACAATACATTAGAGTGCAGTTGATTTGAATTCAATGACACTGTCCTGAAATTTATTATATTGTCTTAAGTGTGGTTTTGGAAACTGTTACCCTCTGAATGTTAATACCAAAAAAATAACCTGTTTTTATTTTTTCCTTCGCGGTTTTACCCAGAACAGTCCATCTGGGTTGGTTGCATTTCAAACAGCAAATACACATTTCAGTCATATGATATGAAAACGATCCAACCTATATAACTCCTACTGCTTACTTTCAAAAAATTCCCTTGTTCTTAAGTCAGTTCAGTGGTTATTAGAAGTAGTCACTGATGTAAATTCCATCTTGTTTATGAAAACCTTTTGAACAAAGCATTGATTGTCCAGGGATCATAAAAAAAGTTAAGATCTATAAAATGTTGGCATCACTACTATTTGGGGCACGAGAATGACATGCATATAAATCATAGTTTATTGGCACAGACTTTTATACTCAAAAAGAAGGCTTTGCTGAAAATGTACCGTAATTCCCCTCTTTTATAGATTTGTTTTTAAAGTATTCCGAATCAGGGAAAAAATCAGAAGCAAATTCTAGTCTGCAGTAGGAATCAAGGGCACAATAAGTCTTTTATAACTTGGGTTAGCTACTGTAGAGGGGCAGCTTAGGCAGAGTTTGGGGAAATCAGGGTGTCTGGAAAGGCCTTGGTCTGAATCTTTTGGAGGGAAAGTCATCCATGTAGCTGATGTCCCTCTATGCAACCTCAACCACATCTCTGTTATCCTGGGGACAGTAATCTGTTGCTCCGTTTTGTAGGAAAGGGCCCTACTATCATCATTTAGGAGAGGTAATGGTTTACTAAAGGCTTTCAAAGGAGTACTCTGTCCCATTCTACCCATCATGAGGTGGGTGAAAGAGGGCTTTGATGCTGACAGATTTTCCTCTTAATAGGAGGGGATTTTTTGGGGGACATTTTTGCAAACCTTGATCCATATCCCCTCTAAGAAAGACAAGGAGAGCAATCTCCTGCCAGTGCTTGGCTAAGCACATGAAGGCCCCTTTGTGCCTCATACACCACTGCTTTTCTTGATCCATGGCTGGTGAAACTCCTCTCTTGGTGCAGTCCCAGATGAGATGTCATCCAGGCAAGGTCTATCTCTCTGTATTCACATGGAACAAGAACTGGCAGTGTTATTTGTTGGTTTAAAATGGCATCATGATGGAAAATAGCTGTTGAGGTCTCACTGCACAAAGTGATCTAATTCTCTTGAATTTTATAACAGGAAGATTTTAAAGGTGTTGGTCACCTAATCATTCGAAGAATGACTTAGTTTTAGAAGCTTCAACTCAGAACTTGCAGGATAGCTGCAGAATCCCAGTCTCAAAGGGTATGATGCCCCACTGGGTGGTGTAAAATTAACAGCACAAACTGTACAGGACCTTTCACATCCTGAGATCAGAGCACCCCGTTCTGGCATTGCTTCAGTTCCAGACAACAGAACTGTCACTGGAGTTACACCAGAATAAAACGAGAGAAACAGCAGCGAACCAGCCTAAGACGCCTCATAGCTAAGTCTTTCCTGTTTCTTTTCCAGTAGCAAAATTTTGGCAGCCACCAGGGATCAATGCTGTTGTTAGCATTGAAGTGCTGCACCAAAGAGCAAACACTCCAGTGATCCAAGCTATTTTCTTTTAAGTCATTCTATTGGACTGCAGGGCTTGTGGGTGGGATTATCCCTAGTGAACAATATGGCAATGCCGCAGGACTAAGTCCTTACTATTTCTTGGAATTTTAGTAAGAGCCATAAAATTCACTGTTGGCACCTGAATCTTTAGAAGCACTAAGCAAATTAAACAATCAAGCCTCAATCCTGCAGCTCTTCTCCTCATATGATGCTTATTAAAATTCATGTGGTGTAGTGCTGCTTGAATGGATTCCAAAATTTTCAAGCAGAAATGCCAAAAATCAGGTTCATAAATCCATATCTAAGATTTTTAACAAGGTTATTCTCCTTTTCCAATTTTCTTGGGCTTCTGAAGATTGCAAATTCTAGAACTTTTGGAAAAAAAAAAAAAAAAGGCCAAATTTTAAGAAGGTCTTTAAACTGAGTTAGAGTCTGCATTAAGACTATTTTCTAGAATTTTTTAGAACTGTCCATTGTAGGTGTCAGGACTGTCCCGTGAGGGCTAAAGGAGGCGTGGTAAGGCAACCCTGTTGTGTTCTGGGTTGTTCTCTGGAGCTAAGATACCACAGGAGAGCTGATTTGGATGCTGTACATATGGCTATTGAGGATGACTTCTGTCAAGTTTGAAACTTGACCCACAGACTGTTACAGGATATTCCAACTGGGAGCACAGTGTTTCTACTCACCTTAACAAAGTGATCCATCACTGATCACAGGGCATAATTATTTCATAACTGCCTGTAATAAATAAGTTCACCCTCAAAAAAAGTCAAGGGAAAAGTAGCCGTAGGAGATCAGAAAACTAGGAAGAATGGCTAGTAAAATCACAGCCAGAAGTTTACAAAAGCTTTACAACGTGTATAAGTCAGAACCACTGCATACATGCCTAAGTCGTGCCAGCTTGTCTGCACACACAGCATAAACCACATAACCACATCCAGAAATGCTGTGTTACAGCTCAAGGATTCTCCATTTAAAGGAGACAATTACAGAGTTGCACAGTTCTTCTCGAGATTGTCTTCAGTAGTGTTTGATCATATTTTTAAGCCACAGGATCCATTTAGGCGAGCCAAAACTATGTATAAATCATGCAGAATCACAGAATATGTTGAATTGGAAGGGACCCACAAGGATCATCGAGTCCAACCCTGAGACCTGCACAGGACCATCCCCAAGAGTCACACCATGTGCCTGAGAGTTGCAGAACTGGGTGTGAGGCAGCTAGACAGCCTGCTAGCTTAGAAAAAACATCATGAAGACAGGAAAGACATGGTTATCAGGACAAGGACTTGTGCATGTGTTAGAATAGCTGGTGTGTCAGGGAATGTGTAGTTCAGCCACACTGTCCTCTACTGGCTCTCTGAAAATGATGTTTTCATTCATGCTGTTTTTGTTCTTTCATGCCCAATTTAAAGCATTTCAACAGAATCATACTTTCAGACAGCCCATATCCTTCACCACATCTCTCTCTGCCCTCAATACTTCTAAAAACCAAGAAAGCAGTGTCTTTATGACTATGAAAGCTTCATGATGTTTACTCTCCAGCTTTTAAGACTTTTGTCAGAAACAAGGAAGAGTTTCAGTATACTCTGGTGTAGTCTTCTCTGTCTCCCTCCTTCTCTACTTGTGTTGTCTCTTTTTCTTGTTGTTTACCACTCTTTCTTACACACATTTTCACAGAAGTGACAGAAACTCCTCCGATCACTTCAGCATTGCAGTTGGAGCTGTCTGCAAACACTGCATGTGGCACAGGGTGGTCTGTGACCTCCTCCTGCAGAGACCACCCCACAGCCACCCTGCTGCCAAAGCCCTGCAAATTGTGCCCAATGCACAACTCAAACCCCCCTTGGTAATAATAATAATACAAAAATACAGCAAAGTTACAATTATACATGTTCTCCAATCTGGGGATTTTTTCCTTCATAAAAGCCTTACTTCTTCACATGTTTCATTCCTTACCTGGGTGTGAATATTCCTGGTATCTTTGGAAAGACTGACCTGACAAGATCTAAGCTAAGGAGAGTGATGAGGCACTGGCACAGGTTGCCCAGACAAACTGTGGATGCCCCATCCTTAGAAGTGTTCTAGGCCAGGTTGGAATGGGCTCTGAGCAACCTGATGTAGTGGAAGGTGTCCCTGCTCATGGCAGGGGGTTGGAACAAGGTGGTCTTGAAGGTCCCTTCCAACCCAAACCATTCTGTGTTGCTGGGGATCTAAATGAAAGCAGGCCTTTCCACCGCTGACCCATGCATGCCCCCTGGCATGCTGCTTCAGAGGTTTTCAGCTTGCAAGCTGACTGCTGTGTGCTCTGTGGGGATCCTGCAGGCACCAACACCCTGTGTGCTGCTTTCAGGTTCTGGACGACAGCTGAGACCGGCTGAGCCCCCGGGAGATGCTGATGCCGATGCGGATGCAGAGGATGAAGATTCTGTGAGTTTTTTAGAGTTTTTCTGTGATGAGAGTTTGGCAAAATGAGATCTTAAATATTTTGTTTATAGCTGAGTCTTGCTGGTGATTTTCCTCCCCATTAAAAATCCCTGCTTGGGATTGTCCTGCCAGCTCAAAAGCGAGAAAGTTGCTTCAGTAAAAAGGCATCTGCTCTTTGCCATGATTCGCCAGCATAAGTTTACTACCAAGACTTAGGAAACTATTATATGGCGGTTAACTACAGTAATTTTTCTTTAAAGATTTAGTTGGTTTAGGTTCCCTGTTGTCTGACTCCAGAAGGAAGCATGCCAAGTGCGTGTCAGCAGAAATTCCTGCTGGGACTTTTCCATGGTTTGCTTGGTTAAACAGGGCAATAAAGCTTGAAGCCACAGGATGAAAGGTTTAGGTGTGCAAATAAAGTAGGGGAGGGATTTTTTTTTTTTTTTACTTTTTCAGTTATTATTGATCTTTCAGTATTTTCAGTCTGTTCCACCTGTAGGTACAAACAATACATAAAGAAAAACAGAATCAGTGTACCACTGTTTTTGTCTCTCAGGACTCTGCCCCTTGTGTTTTTGAGTGCTTTAACATGAGAATTGTATTTGGTTTTGACCTAAAAGAAGAGTTATTGGTTATTTTTCATCCAACATACTAATGAAAGATTTATACTCAGAATGAGACTATGAGTATCTAGAGAAATTCTCCTGAGAAAATGGGTAACTGTTAATTGGTCAATGTTCCTTTACCACCACTCATTTCTGTTCCACAGGTTAATGAAGTGGCAGTAGAAGACATTCGTCCAAGGCCACAAGGATCCTCTCCAGTTTATGAGTATCCCACAGAAGAAGAATATTTAAAGGCAAGACACTAAATTTTTGTGCAGGCATGGCTTTACCAAGTTGATTCAAGAGGCTTTAGCTCCTACAGCTAGCAGAGGCTCATATGTCATACAATGGGATATTGTTGTTCCTGTCCCCACCAAAGTCTGGTCCATGTTCAGTGATGGTTTTATTTTGTACTGGATTTTACTGGCCATGTTCTTGTTTCTTGGCAAAAAAAAACCCCAAACTTGACTTCATTCCTTAAAGGACATGGGACAGAGAGTGTAAAGAAGTCACAGTGTTTTTCTCGTTAGAATATATAACTGTCTTGAATCTAGTAAATAAGTGTTTCAAAACTACCTGTAACTCTTGGTTATTAAATGTTAGAGATTTAATTAATATAGCTATGTTAAGATAAGTAGGCAACAGTTTGAAATTCATGCTGAAGTTGAATAAGTAAAAAAAAAAAAATGCACATTTACAAAATAAAAGCATGGGCATTGTGTGACATTAAGACACAGAAAAGCTTCCCATGTCTTAACACATTTGGTTTCTGGCATTCATTTAATGCAAATTTTGGTACAATGAAGGGAGGCCTTAGCATCTAATTTACTACTGGGAATAGCATGTTTAAATCATTCATGTACATTGCACTTGCAAATCCCAATTTTACTCTGTTGCTGTTAAAGTCAGCCTCAGTTCTTAGTCTAAACCAGGAATTTTAACTGACTTTTGTTGTACCTGACAACAGCATGATTTCTGAACACTAAATAATTGAAAATTATTTTTCAGCTTCAAGAAGAAAACAAAAAACGTTCTACAGACAAATCAAAACAGAGTCATCCACAGGTCAGTCTAAAAGCACTCCGTACTTGTAGGCATGAGCCTTGCAAAGTAAAGTTTATTATAACACACAGACATGAAGGGTGGACAGAAGGAAGGACAAATGGGTGAAGAATAGCTTTAGACTTATTTTGACCAGAAACTTCACAAATTGCCTAGTTGTGGCACAGGCATAAGCACTTACATGTCCTGTTTAGAGTCCTTCCATAATTCTTTTTAGCGTTCTTCCTTTATCCTTCTCTGGTTTGAATACAGTAGAGCATTAGCTCTTAGTCTGTCTTTTTTGGCCCATTGACTTTAATTCAAGTGTTTAACATCTTCACAGAAAATCTTTCAACCCCAAAAGATTCCATGTGTTTCACATTTTAAAATTATAACATGTTTTCCCTGTGGCCTTGATCCAGCGTAACCCTAACATGTGCTTAATTCTAATTTAGAACAGAAGCAAACCCACACTGAATGTGAGTGGGTTATCTCTATTTTAGATAATCTTTCCTGAGCTATTGAAAATATACCTCATCAGACTCAACTTTTTATTGTAAAGTAGAACTCTTTGATACAAATGAATAAAAATGATAAATTCACACCTTTTTTTATCTCTAGGAGACAATGGAGGTGACCCTGAAAACAGAAGCGGAAGCTGGTGCTAGTGGTTTTAGTGTGAAAGGTGGAGGAGATGAAGGAATATTTATTAAAAAAGTACTTAAGGAATCTCCTGCTTCAAAAATATTTAGTCTTAAAGAAGGTACGGTCTGATTTTTTATTTTGTTTTGATTTTATTCTGTATCTTTAAACAATGAGATATATAACTGTGTGTGCACATAAATACCTGCCTAATCTGTCATTTGTTTAGGTAACAGAAATAGTAGATTACAAACCAACGAATGTTTATGTGAGAGCTTAACCTGTCTGTATTTTAATGATTTCAAAGATCACTTGCTTGAGAAATAATGAAATGTGATTTTTTTGTATATGATAAAAAAAAACTTTCACTGCAACAGTGAAAAAGACACATAGAAGGTAGTATATACATAACTAAAATACAAAAAAAGCAAAGCCACAACTCATGACATGCATGAAGAACCTTCCTTTGATTCCTTCACAAAATATGGCATGCCACAGAGCTGCAATAAATAATTGTTTAAACAAGAACAAAACTCCAAAGTCTAAATACTGAAAAACGTAAGAAAAAACTTTGTTACTATCAAGGTGGTCAGATACTGGAACAGGTTTTTCAGAGGTAGTGGAGTCACCGTCCTTGGAAATCTTCAAAACCTAACTGCACACAGACCTGAGAAACTGCTTGCAGCTGACCCATCACTCAGCAGGGCAGTTGGACTAGATGATATCCAGAGGTCCTTGCCAGCCTTAACTATTCCATAATTCTATTATGTGGACATAATTTCCTATTTTAAATAAAAGAATGTGATAATTATTTTTTTATGGGCATTGTTTCAACAGAACTTGAAAAACTGTAAGAAAACACAGAGTAATTGAAATGATCCATGATTCCACTTGCAGGTGATCAGCTTCTAAGTGCTACAATATTTTTTGATAACATCAAATATGAAGATGCACTCAAGATTCTCCAATATTCCGAGCCGTACAGAGTCCAGTTCAGCCTCAAAAGAAAAATTGCTGTCAAAGAAGAGCCAGAACACCCTACAGCTCAATACAAAAAGGAAAGAACAAGCCAGGTAGGTATTAGATTAGTTTACAAAATTTGGATAACATAGTGTAGCAACATGGAAATAGATCAGAAAACACACACTTGTGTCTTCTTAAGACTGAGGCGTGTGTTTAAACTTACTAGCATGACTATTCCTGACAAAAAGAAAAAAAAGAAAAAAACAAAAGCCCCACACAGTATTTTCAGCTTTTAAAATCCTGAGTGAAACCATAGATTTGATACAAATAAACAATTTTATGTTGGGGTGTAAACATATTCTTTAGTGAGTCAGCATTTTTTTGTTCTTAATTGTCAATTGATAGAACAGACTCAGGTAATCTCTGTAATAATTATATTCAATACTTTCAAAAATGTAAAGTATCAGAAAATATTTTTCTCCAAAGCTCATCCGTGAGATTTTTTTTTCTTAAAAATATGTGTTTCATCCCTGATATCTTGATAGACGTGGTCTGTTCATAGGTTTCCATCACCTTAAAAATTACTTTTTCTTCATATACATATATATAAATAGTATATATTATATATTTGTACAGATAAATAGATAGATATAGAAACCTCTATTTAGTGCTGTGTTTTACAAAGAATGTAAACCTTCATAAATCAATATATTACAGTTATATAATCAATTTGTTTTGTATAATTTCTTCCTGACAATATATACATATATATATGTAACTTTCATTATTTTTTATGTAAGAAGTAGATACCATTAATACAAAGAACTTTTTTCTACAAATTTGATAGTATGTTTTTTATTTTCTGTTGCACCTATATTTAGGTTACTTCTAATCTTCTGACTACTATTTGTTCTTTCAGGAGAAAGAACTCAGTGAGAGCATTCCTGAAGAAACACTTCATGTTTCAGGAAAAACCACTTCAGAAGAAGACAGGGAAACATTAATTGCAAACCAAAGAGTAGGAAGAAGCAAGAGACCTAAAAAAGACAGATTATCATGGCCAAAATTCCAGTCAATCAAAAATAAAAAGATATTGAGGCACAGAAGATCTCATAGTACATCAGATGCATATGAGCCTGCTGTACAGGATATTTCCCCTACAAGCACAGACACAGAGTCTCAATTTCCACAAGAAATCCATACCAAGGAAAAAAAAGGAAGCCAAAAGAAGCTGAAGTTCCCTAGCATTGGATTCAGAATGCACAGGTCCAAAACCGAACTACAAGAGAAGCAAAAAAAAGAAATAAAAACTACACTGATCTCTGAAAGAGAAAAAATACATGAAGAAGATATTAGCCTGGAAAATCCTGAAATCCTAACTGTTGAATATACTACATCTCCTGCTTATGAAATGAAAACAGGGGAGGTACATGAAACTTTAACAAAAGACTTAAAAGATATGAAAAATGGCATCCCATCTCATGTAAAACAATGCCCTGAAGTTGAAATAAGCATTAAAAAAGAAAAAGACAAGGAATCAACATCAAAATTTACTTTACCTGAAGTACCAGACATAACAACAGAGATATCAAAGCCCAGTTTA